GAAAACAGCACAACTTTTTTCTACTTTCCAGAGCTCGTCATAATTTTTGTATAGATTTTTTGATGGGATTACCGAATTTTAGCAGGCTCGTCTCAGACACAAGTGCATCAAAGGCCAACAAGTCTTCGGATTTTGAAACTTACAAAAATGGATTATGGTTTGGCAACAATTTTACAAACCAAACAAGCATTTACCGCTTCGGTTTAGCAACTTTCGAAAATTTCGGGTACACCTTGGGGTGCCTTGGAAAAGCTGAATTATGATGATTTTATTCCGGAAAACTTGATGAATCGGAAACAAAAAACAACTGCTAGAAAAAGGAGAAAAAGCTGCATCGAATGACATCCGAGTCGCTTGCCGGTTGTTGTTCTGTGAAGTTTCAGACTAAACATGGAATTTGATGGCATTGAGAAGTTGATTGTAGAAACTCTGAGAAGCAAGCTAAGAAAAAGAAAAAATTACTCTGTATTCTATAGTGTTTGCTCTATCTACCTGTCATTTGACTTTCTCGGAGATAGGTACAAAAATTTAGAAAAATAGCCGAACTTGAGCATGGCAAAAAGCATGAGTCGCAGATTTTGGTAATTTTTCGAGAGCTCATTGAACATTATGCAGTGAAATTAGAACCATTAGAAAGAGGATGAAATGCTGCATCGAATGCTCCTAAGATTTCTTGAAAATGTTGATTCCACGAACAGTGGCGTTCATTCGAAAAAAGCGACATTACTTTCGGAACGACCTAATACAGTGCTGGACATAATTATACAGCCACTCTAGAAATCGTTGTAATTTTTGTTCTTGTCAATGAATCTGTCTGAAACTTTGCTGTATTGTGCGCATGTCAACCTACCATAACCCCTCAAAACGGCTTCCAGTCTTGTTGAGTTTGAACGGAGAAAAACGAAAAAAATCGAAAAAGCCCTCTTTGAAAGCTGGACAAAATTATACAGCCACCTGGTTTTTCTAATCACTATCGCATTCGTTGACTCTCAAATTTTTTTGTACAATTACATCCCAAAATATGAAACATTTCGACACTTACGGCCTCTCATCCTACTCAAGTAGAAGCGATCACTGCATTTCTTGCTTTTAAAAGCATTAAAAGTCAATCTCCTTCAACAAACAACTGCTTTAAAGAGTTTTCAAGCTCTTTTTCATTCCAAATGATAATCATGGAATCTACTGACTTTTCTGGATAGATGAGGTGAAGAGCGCTTTCGTAAACTCTGCGTAATCGCAGATTTTGACGGACAGACTCCAACCTCAACATAGGGTTGGAACGCTTTTAAACCACAAAACTCAGTTTGCAATGTCCACAAAGTGCTGAACTTGATTTACCACATTGTCTACATGGGGATACAGCTTTCGCAACAACTTTCAGATTTTTCCTAATGATGCGGTAGCGATTTAGACCTGGAATACTTTCCACAAAAATTCCTTGCGAGCGGAAGATTCGATATAACCCTAGATCTCCTTATTTCAGTCTGTGTTTCATGTCATATTTCACCGATGAATGAGATTAGCTAAGATTTTGAAGTTTCAAGCGTCTCCGGTCTTATCTTGTGATCTGAGTTGGCTTTGATTGTACAGGGTGCTCCACTCAACATTCAGTGAATGTCAACTGCTGCTGAATCAGAGTGCTCAGTCCCGAAATTTCTTCCCAGTCATGCACACGAGTTCACTATTGTATGGCTGTCGTAATGGCTACATTACAGTATTTTCTGTCGCTTGAAAATCGAGTTTCGTGGTGCAAAAGTGCGTCAACCCTATGGTGAGGTTGGAGTCTGTTCGTCAAAATCAGCGATTACGCAGAGTTTACGAAAGCGCTCTTCACCTCGTCTATCCAGAAGGGTCAGTAGATTCTATGATTATCATTTGGAATGAACAAGAGCTTGAACTCAAACCAGTTGTTTGTTGAAGCAAACTGATTTTTGGTGCTTTTGAAAGCAAAAAATGCAGTGATCGCTTCTACTTAAGTAGGATGAGAGGCCGTAGGTGTTGCAAATGTTTCATATTTTGGGGTATTATTGTACAAAAAAATTTGAGAGGCAACGAATGCGATAGTGATTAGAAAAACCAGGTGGTTATATAATTTTGTCCAGCTTTCAAAGACGGTTTTTTCGAATTTTTACGTTTTTTTCCGTTCAAACTCAACAAGACTGGAAGCCGTTTTGAGGAGTTATGGTAGGTTGACATGCGCACAATACAGCAAAGTTTCAGACAGATTCATTGACAAGAACAAAAATTAAGACGATTTCTAGAGTGGCTGTATAATTATGTCCAGCACTGTATTGTGAATCTTACCGAAAAGCAGAACAGGAAATTCCGCATTTTTCAACTGAGCTACAATATTATTGAACCAAGAAAACAATATCAAGCTTGACCGCTGGCTGAGCCGGTCTTATATTCGTATGGCACTTAATGAAACCTGCGCAAATAATTGTGGCGCACCCTGTACATTCGGCACTTCACCGTAAATATATTAGGCCGTCGGCCCCCAGGAATCATCGGGATCATACAAAATGCTAGAAAATGCGGCTTGTACAGCTTGTCACTCCGAAAGCTGAGGTTACGGAGAATCGAAATAGACCATCGACTTTTCTCTAACTCTTCTTACAAGGAGAGGATACTTAGTCGAAAGCGCCAATCCAGATGAGACATATATCATCTTAAAGCGCTTGAAACGCTGATTCCAAATCTGCAGTTTCTAGCTGCGGAGCGGTTTTGTAGAGGGAGTTATGAGGGGTGTTTCCCTCTGGGGTCGAGGCGTCCCCCACCATTTCTCCCCCTACTATAAGCACTGTAGAGGAGTACCAACTGGTGGCAACTGACCTAGTTGTAAGTGAGGTGCTTTATAAGGTGAGTGTCAAGGTTTTAATCCTCTTCGCATGCAACTTTATCGCAGTTTTTGCAAAATTGAGCTTCTAAATGGCTTTGAAGCTCTAAAGCTTGAAATTTTTGATGATATTGATGCTATAGAAGTGTTAAAAAGCCAAAGTAGTAGGAGTATTATGATCCTTACTGTAGTCTTCATTCAAGTTACTTACCATGAGGCCAGTTGCCACCAGTTGGTAGTCCTCTACAGTGCTTATAGGTAGGGAGACATGGTGGAGGGCGGCTCGACCCTAGAGGGAAACATCCCTCATAACTCCTTCTACAAAACCGCTCCGCAGCTAGAAACTGCAGATTTGGAATCAGCGTTTCAAGCGCTTTAAGATGATATACGTCTCATTTGGATTGGTGCTTTCGACTAAGTATCCTCTCCTTGTTGGCAGTAAGATATGAGGGATAGTCTTCTTGTATATGTTTTTATTCGCTTTGGTTCACAAAAAACGCATTTAATTTTTCCTTTCATTCTAAAAACTAATTTACTAACGTAAATATTTACTAGATGCAGTAATCATTGCATATCGCACTGAACTGTTCTTGCTATCTTAGGCAAGACTTTTTTGCCTAAGATTGCAAAAACGTTGGTTTTTAAAGCCTCGACAACCCGAAAGACTTACATTGAACGGTTTTTTCTCGCCTCTCTTACAAGAAAAGATCTTTGCATTCATCGCACAGCTAGCTATCTTCAAACCTTAAGCCTTAAAAAGCCTTAAGGCTTAAAAATAATAATGTTCACAAATTTTTTTCAAAAAACGAGGAAAAAGGCAGCAAACCAGCATCAACTAATGAGGCTCGCCAAGGATATTCAAATGTTCTGATTCTTATTTATTCATTTATTCTTTTTTGTAGTGTTTATATTTTCAAGTTTTTTTAATTCCCAAAGTTATTTTTTAAACTCAATGTCTATTGTAGACGCCCTTGAAATAGTGCGGGAATAGTGCAACTACTGCAATGCTTATTGTAATTGATAGAACACTTCTTCAAGGAATATGTGTTTGTGTTGTTTTACGACTATGACGTTAAATCAATAGTTTTTGATTACGACTTACTCTCAAATTATCCCGGCTAACAACACATACAATGTGCATTCATTTATACTTGTATTCTTTCCCTTTTTTTACACTTTTTATAATCATCATTTTGAAATCTCTCATCTAGATTAGGGCAAAAAATGATCAATTTGAATTAGGTTGTCCCGAAAGTTCGTTCGCACCATTTTCAAAAAATCATAACTTCTTTGCTTCATAACGATTTTGCGCAATTTAAATTATGTTTAAAAGCGTAAAGCGTGTAGTTTCCAATAGTCCCCTGGAGACCTTCCAGCACGTTAAATTGCAGAGATAAAAATGAATGAACGAGAACATCCGAAATTCGGAATTTTTGAGCAAAAATTCTAAAAATCTAGAAACTGTACGATAAAATCCAGAAAAGCCATTATCATAATTTTTTTTATATTTGATTACTAAGTGAGTCAAGTTTGTGCTGATCGAGCTCTTCTTTCAAAAGTTATGATTTTTTGAAAAAAAAAATTCTGAAAAATTACTTTCCTTAGAATTCTTAAGAAATTGATTTTTCGGCATTTTTTTTTCAAAAATTCATAACTTTCAAAAGAAGGGCTCGATCAGCACAAACTTAACTCAGTTAGTAATCAAATATAAGAAAAATTAGGGTAATGGCTTTTCTGGATTTTATCGCGCAGTTTCTAGATTTTTAGAATTTCCTCCCCAAAATTCCGAATTTCGGATGTTCTCGTTCTTTCATTTTTATCTCTGCAATCTGAACATGATGGAAAGTCGCCAGAAAACTATTGGAAACTACATGCTTTACGCTTTCCAATATAATTTGAAAGGCGCAAAACCGTTGTGAAGGAAAGAAGTTATGATTTTTTGAAAATGGTGCGAACGAACTTTCGGACCAACCTGATATTTAGCGTCTTTTACCGGATAGCGAGGTCGATATCGCAAGCTTTAGCAAAATCTTGATCAAGGAGTACGTTAGGTTTGGAGTTAATACGCAATGCCAAAACTGTGTACATAAGTACTTTAGATCGCAATGTCGTGACTGAGAGGACCTATTATACAATTTTGATCCGTGAATAGTTTTTGCTTTAGCGTCAACATCCCGCTGACGAACCTTGCGGAATTTGCTGAAGCGTTCCACTGTAGTCCAGGATCGCCAATGAACTCAGCAGTAAGGAGACAACGCATATTTCTTTGATCTGTCCAAGTATTAAACATTCTCCGCAATCGTATGTAAATGTTTCTTCGAAGTGGTCTACCATAAAGACATTTCGTTTTTGAAAACTGACTATTCTTCCTGCTAACTCCGCATGGAGTTCAAAATTGATTGCATAATGGCCCGCAAAATTACCACCTGAGTCATATTCCATGTGTAGTAGTGAGCTGGACCTTTTTAATGCTGTAATTTTTTCTACAACGATACCCAAATGATGCGTAATAAGCACTCTCATCAAATTTTATGTCTCGCTCAAAAACTTGAAGAAAAGGTCAAAAAGGCTGTTCCCCAATCATGTCCAACATGCGTATTACAGTGTTGAGATATTTTGTATAGGAATCTCTGTTGTGCTTGATACCTTATCACTTGTATCACCACAATGTTTACTTATTAGCTGATCCCAACGGCTAAGCCTATTCGAGCATGTGCAGAACACTCAAATCACCTGGAGAACCAAATTTCCACCTTGTGTTTTCGAACTGTGATCAAATTTGACAAGAGAACGTCGCAAAGTCGAAGATAAATTGAGGTTTTGTCGTTGCTGAAGGCTTGAAAGGATGATTTCAAATCTGCTCTCCTTACCTGCAAAACTAGAGATGTTTTCCTGACCCGAGATAAGCGCAGAACTGGCGTCAAGTTAACTGTTACAGTTAAGCGCTCAAACTGAGCAGTAATGAGTTTCAATAGGTTGACTACAAAGTTTCCAATGCATGAGTTCTCCTGATACTAGTTGCACTCCGAGCACGGAAAATTTAAAGCGATTGGCTTTACGCCAACCTCGCGTCTACTATCACCTAAACCCCTCACACCTACAAGGGTAAGATTCTTGGTCAGAGTGGTCCTTTTTATATGATAGATATTGTTTGAGAGTGCATGAAACGCAATTCCAAATTTGTCTTCGATATCTGCAAAGCAGCTCTTTCAGGAGAGAAACTATGGGAATATTTCGATGTAATTTTTGAGAATTTGACCAGGGTAAGAAAAGCTGTTAAGGTCATTCCGCGCTTGAAACAGCATTGATAAGCATGAGTTTGTTAGAATAGAAGTTCAATTCATAAAATGCCCCGGCTGTCACCCCCAGTTTGAGTTCACAAGTAGAGTCTTGTCGAAAGCCTCCTACAGAGAGGAATGAACCTTGAAATTATCCTCAGCTTTCCAGGTCTCAGCAAAGGCGTAACATTTTGTTGAGATCGTTCACTTTGATCACTCCTTCGTTGCATATACCGCGCCATATGGACGATAAAAGAAAAATTCATAACTTTCGCTTACGATCGTTTCAACATAGAGTTGCGATAAGCATAGAATGCAAAAACACATTAACGAAATGCTGCACAGTGTTGACAACAGTTTGTGATTTCTCTGCCGGAAACAAGATTTTCTGTAGGTGAGTATGAAAACGAATTCCTATGCAGAAATATATGGACAAGTCTAATGAGAACCTGGAGAAAGTTTTTGAAGCGGATAAGAAAATCGGGTGAAAATTTGCAAATGAAAATGTGAACTGACTTCCTTAGTAGTTTTTGAGCTTCGCGATGATATCAGCGCTTTCATCCTTCACACAGTAAACTGTGCATTAGCAGTCGAACAAAACTGTGTGTGTTTTGATGCTGGCCGTAAATCGTTATACTAAAAGTTCCACACTTCCATACGCAATTGGGCAATTTTTTGTCGTTTTTATTAGCAAATATTAAGTGGTCCCGAAAATTTTGTCCGTTTTTTGCATCGCTTACTAGAACTCACAGAACGCCAATCCATGGACGATCTATAATGGATACCATTAAATTCAAATTTTTACCCTCTTTCTTACGACTATATTTGCTCTCTGATCTACCTTGTCTTTGTAATGTTATCGCCATGTATTAACAGTAACACCAAAACTTTCCGAATTTTAGAATTTTTTATCCTGATAATTAGAGTGCGCTGGTAATTATGTAGAGCAAACCTTTGGCTACGTAAAAGTACCGAAAACTTCAAAAAGCCGTTTTTCTCACAGCAAATTGAACTTGGTTATGTTGCATAAATACTGTTTGATTTCGATCAAGTTTCAATTCGCAACCAAATTTACATTCTAGACCCAAATTTAGTTTGTTTTACGGAGCATGTTTTCGAAAATTTGAAGAAAAATTTTGGCTTTTTTTCTGCGCCATTTCACCATTGTTGGAATTTTCTTCAGATAATAGAGTTTACCATCCGATCTTCCTTGACTTGCTTTTTCACCTTTTATCATTTCCTTTTAAAAATTTGTCTATAATTCGCACACCTTCGAAATTATTTTTTGGGCAACCTAATAATTCTCCTAGGAACTGCATGTAAAATGCAACGTAGGTATATGCATAACTTGAACAGTCTAGGCATTTTGAGCTTTTAGGCATCTTCAAAGATGTTTGAAGGCATGGGAGAAGCTAGTCAATTGTCATGCATGATCACCCTTATAAATACGTGCTTGTTTACTGCTAGCATTCATTGCAATTCTGTTTTTCGAAATAGCCTCTCATCCAACGACTTGCCAATTTTGCTATCTGGATGGCTTTTTATACCATTTATTTGGCGCATCCGCATCCATATCGTTAATTAACCGCTCATGATATAAATCTTGCTGACATTGTTGTTTTTGCTAAAAAGCACCAAAATTTGAATTAGAACTGTTATTCGTTCCTAAACTAACAAGAGAAGGATACTTGATGACTGTGGCCATTCATTATAATTTGTAAATCGAAACATACATTTTTTATTGCTGGTTCGAATACCGTCTCCCATATCTGCGAAACGGTAACGCGGGTGGAGTTATGATTATTTTTTCGTAATTAAATGCGCTAATGCGGAGGGCAAAATCATCAATTAAAATTTTCCTTTTTTTTCAATAGCTGAATATGATTTAGATAGGTATGGATACACTAGTCCTTCTAAGATTTTTTCTTAGCTTCAGACGATAACCAAGAACAAATTTGGTGATTTTAACTACCCAAAATTACGCATTTTCTACGAAAAAAAGTTCAAAATTACCCTCAAAAGCTCGTTTTACATCGAGCACAAATTCAAAATCCGCATTTCGAGGTGCACCTTACGGTATACATCGCATTTCAAACGGCCACGGTCACCGAGTATCCTTACCTTGTAAGCAATTTTGGACGCTTCAGAACGCCCAAGCTTGCGTGCGAGATAAGTATGTAGGCGTTATACTTCTATAATACTCGATATTTTGTCTTCCAGATAAAGTGTTTTGAGCTCACATTCATAGCTCTTACAAGAAAAAACACTGGTGTGACTGTAATGATTTCTGTCAAAGTGATAGATGCGCTTATAAGCTCGTTCAGATTTTCTTTCCTATAGTTGTAAGATTTTGATTTCGCAAAGTAGGCTATGCACATTTTCCGAGTAGCTTGCAGCTTTCAGTTTGATCATAATCCATAATTGATCGTTATTTTCAGTCCACCAGGTTGGCTAAAAAATAATTTCGGTCGTTTCTAACGGTCTGTAGAAATGTTACATATTTATTTATGTATAAACTTACCACCCGATACAGAATGGACCATCCGCTTCTCCTTGTTTTGCCATTTCCGATGATCTAGCAGATACCGTAGAAGGTATCATCGGAAAGGACAAAGCGAGGCGGATGGTCCAGGGCTCGGCACGAGGTGGCTTTTCAAGAACGCGATAAACAAAGTCCTCTTGACTTGTAGAATCTCACAAAGTCCCCTTACCTTAAACCTAAAAAACTATCAAAAGGAGACGACCTAGTTTGCTTGAAAGCCACCTGTGCCGAGCGCTTAGATGGTTTACTTTTTTTCTAAAAATCCTTTTCTTATGGTACAAGAAAGAGGAATAGTCCATTTTTTCATTAAACTTTCAAAAGATTAGACTCCGAGAAAAAATTGAAGCTGAGTATAACATGTATATTTGACGTCCATGACGAAATTTCAAATTTCGAACCATTTGCACGACATAGATGTTAAAATTGAAGCAATCTGAAATGCTCAAAAACTGAGTTCCACGCGCAAACATCTGAAAGTTTTCAAACTTTTGGCTGCAAATTTCGCAAAGTGAAGATCATAATCCACAGCTTGGTTTGCCATGTAGCCGTAAGTTTTATGTATTTAATCACCAAATAAATCGTCTGTGCATTTAATGCAGGCTGAGAACAACGTAGAAATATTTTTTCGAAGGGCTAGCCATATGTGAGCATAATTTCGTTCATTGGCGACGGAATTTGAAGATTTGATATGTGGAAGTAGATCCTTGAAGCTGCTTCTTCCTGAAAAAAATATTCGCTGAAAAGATAGAAGGGTTGCTATAGAGCTTCGAATCGACATTTCAAAATTGTATTTTTACTAGCCAATCTATTAAGTCATTAATGCTGGTCTCTAAACGTTGTTGCGGGTATGAACCTTTGCATCTAATGAAAGGTTTTTTCTAGATTTGCACGGATCCAGCGCGATTCATTAGCTTTGTTAGATATGCATTAAGAAATAAAAAGAAATGATTAAGTGGGGCTCGTGAATCAATCAAGGCATCGCAAACGCAGAAGCACTTAATTCATCACAGGCGATGCAAACGGCCATGCTTACATTTTCATTATCTCGCTTTCCATTTCAACTTTGTTTTCATTGCCCTTTTCAAGAAGCACCCGCTACATCAAAAGTTTTCGATTGCTACGATGAGGTACATCGAGTCTTTCGACAAGCTTTGAGTAACGTTTTGTAGAGCTGGCTTTCACTTAGATTTGCAATATGGCCAATTGTCGTTTTTTCTTCTTTACTGTAATATTACTGTAGAAACTGCAGCATATTCTACAGTCATTACTGTAGGGTTACGGTAGAAAGCTTAGAGAGTGTTTTGAGCCATTGTCATGTTTTACTTCTGAAAAAGGACTGAAAAAGAATGGGAAACCTTACACTAGGTTAATCATGGTCGCTCATTCCGAATATGAAACATTCACGTCACAATAATGCTTTTTTCATAATTTATGCCACATATAACAACGA